CTTCATCTTTTGTCAAGCTTTTTTTTTTAATTTCTCCTCTGTTTGAGATTTTTTTTTTTTTTTTTAATTGGAGGCATGGTGTCATGGGTAAAAAAAAAAAAAAAAAGTTGGAGGCATGGTGTCATGGGTAACATACACGCAACCAGCATGTGCCAGGTGTCATGCCCTCGTGACTCACATTAACGGAACAAGAGCAGACAAACGAGGTAAATGATGCTTTAACCTGCCGCCCCCCATCTGACTGACATTGTTTTATTTTAATTTTTTCAACTTCATATCTTTTTATAAAACAATGATCCTCTGCATTGAACGTTTTTCGTTTCTACAGTGAGGTGGCGAGACCCTAAGTCGTACACGCAGTTTTTTTTTTGTTTTTTTTTTTTTAACACATTCACTTGTTTCTCAAAGAACATGATTATCAGGAGGTCGGGGAACTCACAATTCAACCCGAAGTTATCCCAGCGGCTGTGGGAACTCACAATTCAACCCGGAGTTATCCCAGCGGCTATGGGAACTCACAATTCAACCCGGAGTTATCCCAACAGCATCAACCGCTTTCAATTGCGGCCCTCAAGGTTGAGACTTTCATTGAACAACAATGTCAATTCGACATTCCCTGATCATACACTGAGACGATAATGTTTCATCTAACTAAAGCTCTGTGAGGCTTTTAAGCTCCTTTACCTTCATCCGGACTATCCTCCCTATCTAACCTAGCTACGGAATCTACCCTACTTATCCAACCCTACCTAACCTGTCCTGTTTCACAAGCCTACATGGCCTGGCACCAACCTCATACGACCAGTTGGAACCCCTGTGTCCCGTGTCACCTGACACTCTCCCACCCTCCACCCCTTTCTCACCTCCTGTAGTCCCAATCTACAACCGACATACCCTGGTTCTTCCCAGCAGTCACCAGTACCCCACTATAACTACCTGGTATTTAGCTACTCAGCCACTCTGAGATCACCAAACCTCTAGCACTGCTTACCCGTGCGAGTTGGTTGCCTCTGGTCCATGTTCGCAGAGACCACTGCAGATTCCACGTTGGGGCCTTTCCTTTTTTGGCTCTCCTCTGACAGTCGGCCCAGATTGGCAGATTGCCAGTTTCAGACCCTTTTCAATACCATCCTTAATCTTCACATCAGAGAATGGTCTACCTTCAAACCTGGCCCAATTCCTGTTTGGCCGTTCCTGTCTGGCTATATGACGAACATTTCTTCATGCGTGTCAGTTTGCGTTTTACTTGCATCTCACACTACTTTTCTTCTTCCCCCATTCTTCTTATGTTCATACAACTATGCAGTCATTTTCATTTTAATTGTATTTGGCTAGCATTCTGTTTCTTGTGCATTTTGCTCTGTAACATTAGGATCGGTGTGACACCCGTTTCCGTTGCCCGTGGTTTGCCGTTGTGCAGGTGAAGGCGGTTCATTGCTCCGTTGCCTCGTGTGAAGTTCGCACTGTCGTCTGCAAAGCAGGTCAAACTGTTTTCAAATCACCCTTCAGCAACACTGGCACATAAGCAGAGTGCGAGGTAAGCAAGGTGTGGCATGTCAGCACGGTACCACGTAAGCAGGGTGCCACAACACCGGAATGCCACGTCGGTACTGGCCGTTGCAGGTTATCACCTGCACCAGCCGTTGCAGCTCATCACTTGCAACCGGTTGTTGCGGCTCATCACCTGCAGCAGCCACTGCATGGCAAGGCTCTTCATCACCTGCGCTTGCACCGATAGCTGCAGTGCTCCTGCTGTTGTCATGTTGCATTCCGTAATGGTGCATACCAGAACAACAACCGACCTCTGTCACATAGTACAGGATAGCGCAGCGGAAGGCTAATATACCAATGATCAGACCAAGCAATGTCGCAATGCAGACCGAACGTACATCATCCTCGTCACAAGGTGTGCAGGGGCCTGACACTCACACAAGAAGAATGCGCCAGTCCCCAATGTCGAGTCTGAATCCAAATGTCGTCAAGTCCCAAAGTCACAAATCTCTCTCTCTCTCTCTCTCTCTCTCTCTCTCTCTCTCTCTCTCTCTCTCTCTCTCTCTCTCTCTCTCGTACTCTGCAGATACGAGAAGGGAAAGATGGTGGACTTAGAGGAGGAAGAAGAAGAACTCTCGCTTGCTCTCTTGTGCCAAGTACCAAACTATGAAGGTGTTCCCTTGCTGCAGGTGCATCGAAGACGAAGCTGGAGCTGTGGGGCCACAAGTGAGTCTCCCTCGCCTCAACCAACCATAGGCAGCAGGTCGTTCTATACGCAGCTATGTTGCATGCACGGCTCCTACACGGGCCCCACAGTTGAGCAGGTCGTTCTATACGCAGCATTACTCGACGCGCTGATGCTTTTAGTGTGTTCGTTTACAGTGCTGGGCGCGTAGTTTGTCGTTGCATCAGCAAGGCGAGTGGGCGATTCTGGGCCGCAACCCAGCTGCAGTGTGAGTGTTACATACCCAGTTGGGCAATGTAAGGGAAGCCAAGGATCCGCATTGTGATGAAAAGGACTCGAAGGACAATGCAGTGTTAATGACATTTCCACAAATAATGTTCGTCCTGGTAGCAGCACAATGGTACTTCGTAGCACAGCGAGAGACTTGGGCGTGAATCCCGACTTGATTGGGACTGACATGACATCTCATGATACTTCACACCTGTCAGAGGAGGTAGGTATGAACACTGTGAAGTATCATGCGATGTCATATCAGTCCCAGTCAAGTCGGGATTCATGCTCAAGTCTCTCGCTGTGCTATGAAGTACTATTTTGCTAGAATCAGGACGAACATTGCTTGTGGAGATTTCATTAACACTGCAAAATGAGATGCCGAACTGTGGAATACCATAATGGTGCAAAACAGAGCAAGGACCGACCTCCTTCACAAAGTTAATATAGCGAAGCAGAATGCTAACATATCAATTATCAACCCAATCAATGTCGTAATACAGACCCAACGTACATCATCATCGTTGCAGGGTGTGAGTGGATTGGAGCTGCAAACAGATGAATGCGCGAGGTACAGACCATACACACACGAAGAGGAGGGGGGTCAGACGAAGAAGATGAGGGGAGATGGGAATGTCGCCAAGACCAAGTCTTCGTTACAAGTCCCAAATAGTCCCTCGTCACATGTCTGAATCCCAATGTCGAGTCCGGATCCAAATGTCGTAAAGTCCCAAAGTCACAAATATCTCTCCCTCGTAGTCTGCAGATGCTAAAAAGTCAGGTAGTGAGATGGTGAGGAAGAGTTGGTGGACTTAGAAGAGGAGGAAAAAAAACTCTCTCTCTCTCTCTCTCTCTCTCTCTCTCTCTCTCTTTGGTCCAGTACCGACCTTTGAAGTTGGCGCCTTGCTGCAGGTGCCTCGAGGATGGAGCTGGAGCTATGACAGCACAGGTAAGTCACCCTGTGAAGTTGGCGCCTTGTTGCACGTACCTCGAAGATGAAGTTGGAGCTATGGTGCCTCAGGTAAGTTTCCCTGGCCTTGCCAACCCCCTGTCATCTGCAGAACTTTAGCGCTACTACTAGCGCCCGACGCTGAAGACTCCAACTAACGCTACTCCTGCTGCGCTCCTCCAAAGTGCTGCTACCGAATCCTGAAGACTACTGCCGCCTCCTGAGCTGCACGAGAATACCCCTGTGAACTACCTGCCAACCACGAAAGGTGAGGCAGTCTTATATAGTGTTGGCTCGTCCAGGAGGCTGCTCTTGGCCATGCCAAAACGTGCCAGACTTCGTCTCTGCAGCTCAACCAGGGGTTGTTTTGGGAATAGGCCAAAAATAGTCTGTGCCTAAACCCCTGGTCTGATGCCTAGGTTTCAGGGCAGGCAGATCTGGTGACGACAAAAAAATGACCCTTCCCTTTTTTGGCTGAAATGAAAACAGGGCCTGTAGGGGTCTATTTTCAGACTTTCGAGCTGAACAGACACGGGCCTTGTGGGCCCTTACTTTCAGGCTTCCAGCCTGAAATTCAGGCTTTTCGCCTGGAATTCAGGCTTTTAGCTTCAAAGATGCGGGGCTTGGATTGTTGCCCTCGTATGCAAGCGCATCATGTAAGAGTGAGTTAGGAGTAGTGAGGGACCGGGCGGAGGCCAGGGGACTTACGAAATTCGGATTGCAAGTCTGAAGCAGGCAAAGTAGCAAACGACGTGTGTGTTGTTCTGTCTTGATTATGTGCTATTGGAGGTCGCCGAAGTTTATGGTGGGAATTGTTGACGATTGTTGTGTCCTGACTCTTGGTGTTTCTTTGTCTTTTGTCCTTGTGTGTGTTGTGCACTGTGCACAGTGTATCCCAATCCACAAGGGCTATAATGCCTGAGTCGAATGGTGATGCCCACTGGTCAGAACCTGGGGAGCATACCAGGCGAAACTCCTCTGGGGCTGTGCATTTGTCGGGTTCCGTGAGTGAACCTGCATTTTCTTCATCGCATGTCATGGGTCCCTCAAACCCTCTCCACGGTCCCCATTCCTCTTTTCATGCGATGCGTACTCCCGTGACTCCACCGAGACCACAAATTTCACACTTTCCATGGGGTGTGGAGTATTCTCAGTGTGTTGCTTCACCGTTCTCGACAATTCCTAACACCCCCACCATTCTCTATCATCCAACCCACATGCTCCCCTTGCACTTCCCAGCCTACATGTTTCCTGGCATTCCTGGCTCTGCATATGCCTATGGGGGAAACCATGGTGATCCACACGTGGTGCATGCTTCGGGTCCATATTATGCAGGCACAACACCGAACACACGTGCCACTTCTCTCCCAATGACACATCACGTTTATCCAACGCACAAGATGATGCATGGATTGTCGTCGAGCCAACCTCATCACCCCTGTCCATCCCTATCACTTCGTCTTCATCACACGTATCCTTCCCGTTCACTTGACCATCTGAATCACGATTCTGTTGTTACTCCACCATCCACACAGTTTAATTACGACAGTCCTCCAGTTCCATGGGCACCTCTGAGAACGCCCACCACCGTTGCCCCGTGGCGTGGCGAGGCCCTTGCAGATTCCACTCGACAAACGCACGAGTGAGACACAAGCACTCCCGTCCATCTGGACACCTTACTTCCGTTGGACAACACAGCATCACATGGATTGAGGACCACCGTCACAACGCCTTTGGATACGCCGCGTGGAATGCGTGAACATGTAGAAAGTGCAACAATTGATACCATCGGCTCCCGCACGCCATGTGCGTCGGACTTGCCATTGGGAGATATCCCAGCGGACGGTAGCCACGACTGCGACATTGGACCGTCGGGTGACACATGCGACGACAAACACGTCGAGATAGCCTCACTGCGCAGGTATATGACCTTCAGGGATGCGACATTCATTGGACAGAGATCACAATGGCCTCCAGAGCTTTCAGACAGCGGACCGTCAACGGCGTTCCCCGCACACGACAGGCGCGGTCAGAAGCGGAGACACACAGAAAAGCAACCAGCTTATGGATCCTCTGACCGTGAGGCGTTCTCATCAGGCGATGATCTGACCAATCCAGATGATGCGATGCGGACTACACCTCCCACACAACAAGCACTCACGGGGGATTTCCAACCGTTGGAAGTTGGAGGTCGTTATGAGTCTATGGATGCGTTGCGTGATGCGGTAGTGCTCTGCGCTGTGGCATCTGGTTTTGAGTTCCGCATCAAGAGATCGAACAAGACGAGGTACTATGTCACATGTGCTCACCCAGATTGCCCATGGTCATTGGAGGCCAAAGCAGCACATGCTAATGGACACACGGAGATTGTTCGTCTGACTCCGCATCGCCCTGGTTGTAGAAAACCAGTCCAGCCTGGCCTGAAACGCAACAAACACGCGAAGCTAAGGTGGGTGAAGCTTATGGTTGAGAAAAAGTTGCGAGAGGACAGAGAAACGACTTCTGCAAAGTTGAAGAAATGGTTTGACAAGGCAGTGAAGACCCGCGTCAGCTACATCAAGTGTTTGCGAGCGAGGACGTCTGTGCTTCGGACACTGAATGGGGCTCCGGAGGAGGGGTTCAGCGACTTGCGAAGGTATTGCAGGGTGTTGCATGAAACAAACCCTGGCTCCATTATCGACCTTGAGTGCGAGGGCAATGTCTTCGTTCGCATGTTTTTCTCGTTGGCCTCCTCTGTAAGTGGATTTGCACATTGTAGACCTTTGATTGTGCTCGACGAGGCACACGTCAGAGGGAAATACAAGGGATGTCTTCTCGGCATCACTGGTCGAGATGCAAATGACCAATGTTTCCCCCTGGCGTATACGATTGTGGATGATGAGAGGAAGATGCATTGGAAGTGCTTTCTCGTCCTCCTCAAGCGCTTGTGCGCTGTAGCGAAGATGGACCACAAAATCGTGACAATAATGTCAGACCGGGACAAAGGGCTCATACAGGCGGTGAGTGAGGAGTTTGGGGATGAGCGGCACACATACTGTGTCCGCCATGTCAGTAGGAACCTCCTGAAGAGCTTGAGGCTGAAAAAGGAACATGCAACGATGCTCCTTGAAGCGGCGAGGGCGACTTGCGAGGAGGTTTTCAATTACTACATGCAGCGGCTCGCTGGATATTCGAGGCACAACAACATTGTCGACCAAATCCTTGACAAAGTGGACAAAAGGCATTGAGGAGGCCCATATTTCGTCCATCCAAGGTACGGTAAAGTGACATCGTCCGTAGCCGAGTCCATGAACAACAAAATGTTGGAGGTTCGTGGAAAGCCTCAAATACCAATGCTCGAGGGGTACAGGGGAATTGTGCAGACTTGGCATACAGAGAGGAGAGAGAGGGGTGCTGCAGAGAGGGGCAGATTCCCTTCGCTTGTGGAAAAGATCTTAAGAGAGACTATGGAGTTGGCGAGGAAGTATGATGTCCGAAAGGCATCACAAGATGTATATGAGATCATGTGGACAAATGCGCACAAACGACATCAATCGTGGTGGGTGGAATTCCTTGATGGCAAAGTCTTGTGCACGTGTCGCTTTTGGGAGGACAGACGCCGTTCATGCACTCATGCTGCAGCATCCATCGCGGAACGAAACGAGGATATAGCGTGGTATGTGGACGCCTTTACACCACGAGCGCCTTACGAGCGTCGTATGAGGGTGTCGTCCTTCCGACGTGCTTCGCAAGCACAAGAACGTCCATGGACAGTGAAGAGATCGTTTTCCCTTCCGCGACGAAGCGTAAAAAAGGTCGTCCTCCTAATGGGAGTCGAATGGAGAGTTGTCTTGAGAATGGGAGGGTCAGCCAAGCAAGGGCGAACAAGCAGAAGTGTTCGGTTTGCGGGCTTACCGGCCATAATCCCCGCAAATGAAGGACCCCAAGGCCAGCTGGTGGAGTGCGTCCTGGTGACATGGTCGTGGCGGAGAATGCCGTGGCTGCTCGCGACGGTTCAAACCGAATGCATACTCACGAGCGTTTTGGGGACGAGCATGATCATCTTGGAGTCTTTAACTCTCACGCAGCGGATGGCTTTGAAGTATATCTGACGGAAGCGCATGAGCATGAGGGGTTGTCCGACGTGGACAACGTACATGGAGAGGAACACGAGACAGACAAAGGGGTGGGCAAAGATGATGGCGAGGAGGGGGATGACGAGGACGAGAGTGAGGACATGGACGGGGACGACGGTGAGGAGTTGGACAAGGATGACAACAATGCTGAGAGGGGGGGAGATGACGAAAATGAGGAGGAGGAGAAGAAAGAGCAGATTAAGGACTCGAACGAGGACAGGGATGACAAAGGTGAGGACAACGACAACAAGGATAGACAGGATAAAAAGGACGAAGAGAGGGATAAGGAAAACATGAAGGACTCGGACGATGACAAGGTCGACAAGGATAGACAAATGTTTGTGGAGAGAGAGGGAGAGGAGGTGGATGACAACAGCGACAGTGACGACTGCGAGAATGAAGAGGAGAGGGAAGGAGAGGAGGTGGATGACGAGGAGGTGGAGAAAGAGAAGGAGGCCGTGCATGATGAGTTGAAGGACGCCAATGAACAGAGGAAAAATGTGGAGGTGGAGGTCGTGGATCTTAGGGCGGTTGATGACGAGGAAGAGGGGATCGAACCTGAAGACCCGGAAACGAAGGAGTAGGACGCTCTCAAGGCGAACCCCGTGACTCAACCACAACCTCAACGTAAACGAATACCCAACAACCATTATGAAGGTGCTGACATCCTCGATAATTCGGGCCGAAGTGTGCGTGCACGACATTACGACTTGCGGGCACATTTAGAATCACTAGAATGCCTATGGAGAAGGTGTGTGTGTGTGTGCACTTCCACCCTCAGCAATGTGAGCATGCAGCGAGGTAAATAATGTTCTGCTTGCCCACCAAACCGGTCGTCCTAAAACTCCGTGTGTGTGTGTGTGTGTGTGTGTTCTTGTGTGAGTTTGCAAGGGTCCTGACTGACCACAACTTGCTGGTGTGTATCTTTTTGCATGCGCAAGTATCAACACACACATAGATTGAGTGTCTCACACACACAAAGTCAAGTTGAGACAAAATGGAATAAAAAACAGATAGCGCAACTTATATTATCAAATCACGTTAAACAATAGTATCTCAAGCTCAACCATATCCAAAAGGTCTGGCTCAGCCATACACAAAGGGCCTGGCTCAGCCAGCATCTGCCCCAGATCACAAGTGTGGTGCCAACAGGTAAGTATCTTCCATATCCACCATCTTCACCTGCCTCTTCTCTCTTGCTCTTCTCTCAAAATCTCTGTCTTGGTTCCCTTCACTCAACATGTATGCACACTCCCTGTCTACGAGAATCTACTCTGAATGCTACTCATTGAAGACTACTTACTAACCCTTCTACTACTACTAACATGTTGGTGCAGCTATGACTGCCTCTTGCAAGCTAGCGCCCAGCCTTCTTCTTCTTAGCGTAGCTTCTCCAGCCAGCCAGCACACAAGTGCTACAGCACTTCCACGCATCAATGCCACTGAAGAATCTGTCTGATGGGGAGGCTGCCTCGTCCTTTATAGTGTTGGCCTCCCCTTGCAAGGTCTGAATTCAGCCTGTCTTGGGTCTTGTCCCAGTCCCAACCTCTGTGAAGTGTGCCCCAGTACCTTTTCCTTCAAGGTGTGCTGCTGCTGTGGCCTTCAGGCCTGATTTTTGGACTTAGAGCCTGTATCTAAACTCTCCTTCTGAATTAATTTGTGACTGGGATTTTATCCTTTTAACTTCCTTTGGACAGACACATCTATTGCTCGAACAGACACACATTCTGCACGAAGAGACACATCTCTTGCATGAACAGACATGACTTGCACATCCTCTGGATCCTCTGGATGAACAGATGTGACTCCCATATCTGAATGGTGCAACTGCTCGTCCAGGGGCACACTGTGACCTTTGACATTTATCTTTTACTTAGTTAGGATGTGACTTTTGACTCAGAGAACATGCCTTTTGATTTGCTTTTCACGAGTTCGGTTTTAGACGAAGGATGCCTCAATGCTGAATTCGTCATTCAGACCCTGAATCGGGTAAAGACCCTTTTAAGTTATACATTTCCACAACAGCAGCCCCTGTTCCACCCACATGACGTCCTCTGTAGTTGAAGTTACTGTTCGAATTTGTTGATGAAATCGTGTTCGAATTTGTTTGTGGATACGAATGCCCTAGCTCGGGGATTCTGAAAATTCATGTCAGTGAATGAACCGGGGAGAGACATTATTACTAAGGTTCGCTTACATTCAATATTTTGTTTGGATTCTGCGATTCTTGATGTGCACTCTAGCGTCTCTGAGCAGTGGTTGTGAATGGTGTGCTATTTATTGCTTTCTCCAAGTTTGTTTGTCACTGCGCATGTTTGTTGGAAGAGTTGAATACCAAGCTGGATCGAGCGCATGACAACCTGACGGACGCGTTTCGTCCACGTCGGTCTGGTGCTTTGTTGCAGATTTTTTGACAGGCGACTTTTGAATGCTGGAGTTCGAGCAGCGGCGGCCTAGCATTTCTTTGAGATGATTGTGGCGGATGACTTGGTGAAAACACTTTGCATGGGAGGATGCTGAAGGACACAGTGCATGGACGTGGACGTCCGGGGAGTTCTCGCATGTCCACGACTACATTGATGGAAGCTTTAAGTGTGCAAGGACGGACACTGTGGAACATGGACACTTGTCCTCGTGCACATGTTCTTGTTTTTATTCACCAATCTTTTTTCTTTTTTTTTTTGTCCTCGCTGTGGTTCTCTTTCGAGGTCATTTGAATATAGAGGGATGTGGCATGTGGTATCGTCTGTTCACTAGTCATTGCTTTGGTAGTTCCTTCACAGCGCAAGTGGCTAAACTGCAGAATGCAGCTACCAAGTAATAAATTTAGAGTATCAGCTTATTAAAAACCAAAAGGGTTTGTACGAAGTGTTCAATAATTTCAGTCGTGGGTGATAAATATTCAATTTTTTGAATTTTGTCCTTCACCCTTTCCCATTGACCTGTGATTTCTGTTTGTATCTGTTGTTTGATAGAGTCAGTGAATTCTGT